TTATTTGCTTCTGATCCATAATTCGCCAAGGATTGATTGTTGTGGCAGATAGGGAAAAAAATTGGTGGTTTTGGGGCTGGGGAGATGGCTCAGTGAAATAAGTGCTTCTCTGGCAAGTACAAGGGCCTGAGTTCAATCCTCGGTTCTGCCAAAATTAAAAAAAAAAAAAAAAAAAAAATGTTTTTTTTTTGTTTGTTTGTTTGTCTTTAAAAGCCCGGTGACCTCTCAGTACAAGTTGTATTTTTGGGTTTTTTGGTGGTTGTTGTTTTTTGATTTTTGATTTTTGGTTTTGTTTTTTGTTTTTTGATTTTTGGTTTTGTTTTGTGTTCTTTTTGTTTGTTTTTGGTCTCCTCACTAAGCAGTTCCAACTGGCTATGAGTTTATTTTGTAGCCCAGGCATTGAGTTGAAGCTTTTTGAAATTCAGGTGAAGGATTAGGGAATAGGATTTTTAATTCTCTTAGTCAAAGAGGTATATTTGAAAAATAAGGTGGTAGTTTCTTAGTGCTGTTATTTTAATAAGTATCTGAGATTATTTCATGAAGGGGATTAGTTTATTCTGTTTGAATTGTGTGTCTTAAATGTGGATTCTGGGTAAATAGGCTTTAAGAGTTTATATACTTTTTTTAATCTTAAAGACACATATCATATTCTCTTAGTCTAGATTTTATTTTTTATTGTGTTGGTACTTTAAAATTTTTTATTTTAAAGAGAAAAAAGAACAGAAAAACAACATCAAACAATGAAAATGGTACAGAATTTTAAAGAATAAAAAATTAAAATTAGTGTTATCAAATTTGTTGCTTGGATTTATGTTGGTATTTTTATTGTGGTAGGCACTGCCTTTTTTTCTAATGCTCTTTGTAGGTAGGGTTTATATGTGTGTATTTAATAATTGTAGAAAAGTTTCAAAACTGGGTAGAATCCATAGGATCTAGCATGGTGACACATGCCTCTACAACATTTGGGTGGAAGAGGCTGGAGGATTGCATGTTTCAGGCCAGGCTGGGCAACTTAATGAGGCCCTGTTTTAAAAACTAAGAGGCTCCCCCCCCAACCCCCACACAAAAAAAGCCTTATTGTGGTATAGCTTAGCGGTAGAGCACTTGGCTTATATGCACAAAGGCCTGGATTCAATCCCTTGTATATGTATCTATATGTCCTCCACCAGATTCTTCAGATGTGAATTTTTAAAGTTTTTGTTCTTTCTTCCCCTGTATAGTATTCCAGCTTTTTGAGGACAAGTTGTAGGCATGATTCCTTTCTGTTTCGGAATATATTATCAGTATTTTTTTTTTAAAAAAGGATTATTTCATATGAACACAGTACAGTTACCAAAATCAGTAAACTAACATTGATACGTTATTACAGAAGCTCTGTCAAACTGTATTTGTTACTATAGGTCTCTTAAATTTTCTAGATATAGTGTTAAAATAGTTAATATGTGGTTTTTCTCTACCATTTGGGAACATATAAACAGATTTTTGTTTTTAAACTTGTACTTTAAGTTAAATTGATATATTTTTTAAATTTTTCTTTTTAATTGTGAAGGGATTGAGCCAAAGCTAAACATTCTGGAAATTGTGAAAACCGCGGAAACTGTTGAAGTCGTTATTGACCCGGATGCCCATCATGCTGAAGCAGAAGCACATCTTGTGGAAGAAGCTCAAGTGATAACTCTCGATGGCACAAAGCACATTACAACCATCTCAGATGAGACCTCAGAGCAAGTGACAAGATGGGCAGCCGCGCTAGAAGGTTACAGGAAAGAACAAGAACGCCTCGGGATACCCTATGGTAATAAAATAGGATTAATTTTTAGGTAGAATAATAAGAATTAAGTGTGATGTAAGAAGCACTAGAGAATTATAATTATTTTAAATAGAATTTTTGGGAGACTTTATCTTTTTTTAAACCTATGACATACTTAAGCACATATGATAAATAAATACTATCCTGGGTGATGGGAATACAAAGAGGTATAAAAACTTGTACCATAGTGTTTTCACGGTGTAGTTGAGGAACAAGGATGTAGATGAAAAGAGTTAACTGTCTTAAGGGTGACATTTAAGATGTCAATAGTTTGTATAACCGAAATACACTGTTAGAATTTCAGAGAAATTATAGTAGCCTAAGAGAAAATTGGAGAAGAATTTATTACAGAGAAAAAACTATCATGCAGAGGACATTACAGTCAGGAAACACTAGAAGCAAAGCATAAAGCTGGAAGGTTGCATGAGTCATGAGAACGTTCAGTGGATGAGTTACTCTGGCTGTCTAGAACTGCTTTTGATCAGTAGAAGTGATGATTGAAAAATAGATGACTGTGATACATGCTGTAAGTTGGAGCAGCAGGGTGGAGAGAAAGCAAGAGCCTGTTACTGTATTTCATACAGTCATGGCAATGTTCAGGTTAGCCTAAATGGGGTGATTCTTTAAGTAAAACTCTTTAATTTTAAAACACTTGAGATTTATTTGAGGTATAGGAAGATGCTTTAAAAATCATTGGTTTCTTTTTTTGTTATGTTATCATCCCAATAGATTTCTATTTCTGTACCAAGGATAGTTTTTTGAGTAATTTAACTGAGCAGCATTGAATGACAAATTCAAAACACACATTCATATCTCTTATTAAGAATATTGGAAATATAGACGTGCTGAGAGTATCTTTTAGTTATTTTTAAAAACACAACTCTTTTTTTTGACTTTTTAGAATTGTCAAATACTAACATTTCAAACTTTTATATTCATATAAAAATAAACTATTACAGATAAACTTGATTTATATCTTAACTAGTTCTCTACTTTTTTCTTGGCCTCCTGAGTGAGCTCTATTTTTACTGTGTGTCTGTTAAGTTGAAAGAGAGAAAATGTCTTAGGAAAAATTATTAGTTCTCATAACAGCTAACATGACTGTAGTCCTATACTAAAGTCCTACAGAAAAGCAAATGTGCCTGACACACGTGTTCTAAGTCAGACATCCCAATATTTGATAAATCAGGTTAATGTTTTTCCCTGTGTCTTGATCTTATTTGTGTGTGTGTGTGCATTTTGATATAAAATTGTGTTTTCTTTCGTTTTTCTTTGTGGTACTGGCAACTAAACCAAGGCTTCTGCACTGAGCTAAACTCCCAGCTGACGTCTACCCCACCTTTTAATTTCCTTGACACAGGGTCTTGGCTGTGACAGTCCTCTTGCCTTTGCCTCCCAGAATACTGCAATCCCAAGTGTGTGCTGCCATGCCCAGCATTTTCTGGACTTTTGGGAAGATACAGTTCAGGGTAGCTTTTTAAATTTGGCAGTGCCGCCTCCTGTTTCAAGAAGTACTATACTCTGGAATAAAACAGCTTACTTTCCTTATTGGCGTGCACCTCTTTTGGAAGTAATCCTTGGGTGAATTTGAAAAGCTCTCAAGAGTTCTGCTTCTTGAGTTCAATCCCCAGTTCCACAAAAAAAAAAAAAAAAAAAAAAAAAAAAAAAAAAACAAAATTATGCTTCTGATTCCTGGCACCACATGCTGCGCGGCCCCACCCCTAGGCACACTGATCTGGCAACCTCTAGGCCAGACGTGGTGGCGCACACCTGTAATCCCCATGCTGGGAAGCTTAAAAACAGGAGGATCACTGTGAGTCCAAGCTGGGAAGTGAGACTCTACACAGAATACATTTAAAAAAAAAAAAAATTACACTTCTGCAGCCCATTAAACCTTATCATGGACCATTTTAATTATCTTCTTTTGAATTGGGCCAAGCTATTTTTTAGCCATTGCTTTTAGCTGGACTTGTTGTGCTGTCTCCCCTCTTACCCTCACAGTGGTGATGATTGAACCAAAGCCCTCATATTTGCTGGGTAGGTGTTCCATTACTGAGCTACATTTCCAGCACTATTTATTTTGTTTTTTGGTTGGTTGGTTTTAGAGTTTCATCATGTAGTTTAGTCCGGCCTTGAATTCACTGTATCATCTAGGCTGGTTCAGTGATCCTCCTGCCTCACCCTCCCAAGTGATGAGGTTAGAGTTGTGCATGACACACCCAGCTTGTTTATTTTATTTTGAGGCAGAATTTCACTAAATTGCTCAGGTTGGCTTTGAATTTGTAATTCTTCACCTCAGCCTCCCAAGTAGATAAGATCATAAGATTATAGGCCTGTGCTACTATGCCCAGGCTTAACAGATGCTTATTGATGACATTCAAATTTTCCTCTGCTCAGGAAGTATACGCTTTATTATTTTGCTTTGTTTTCACCTTTGTATATTGTGGGATTCTTGGGGTGTCTCAGCCCTTCATTCCTTGTAAGTATTCATAGGGTTTTTGTTTGTTTTACCCTGTAGTTATGCTTCTGTTTTTCTGTGTACATTCAGAAAAGTTAAGCTTTACTATCATCTTCCTAGAATCTTTCGCTGCTTTGTGGCAATTTTTTTCTTAAAAAATTCTGTGAATTCTATGAGTTGTATCTTGTATAAATTGGTTTTTTATAAATAGCTGAAAACTATTTTCCTACTAACTTTCTTATTCAGTTCTATATTCATGTTCTGTTTACCCTATAAATTGGCCTTTGATAAACAGATAAGTACTGTTTTCATATTTATTTTCTTGAATAACATTTGTTGGGTATGTAATCAGTATTAGCTGGATAAGCCATCTTCTGAAGCATTTAATTTGGCTCCTATTAGACTTCCAGAAGTAGGTGCCAGAAAAAGTGATGTGATATGTATATATTGGCTATCTTTTTTATTTATAAATTCAATTAGATACTAAAATATTATAGATAAAATGAAATTTGAACATAGTTTATGGGTTTAACAGGTGTGTACCAAGCAGTATAGTGGGCTCTAAAGTACAGTTTACAAACACAATCCATTGTTTATGACATGAATGTGTTTTAGCATCACACCTGAATAAAGAGGCAATTAACGGGTAGTATTTTATGTGCCATGATCACAGTAAATGCAGGCCTGACTGGCTCTTAAAAATCTTATAATTTGTGTGATGCACCAAATTGGACAAAGCTATAAAGTTATTCTTTTGAACTTGGATAATTTGTTCTTTCTAAGCAAAACATATATTCTTTTACTTTCCTTGTGGAAAATGATTTTTCATTTTGTTTTCCTTGACAAAATTCCAGACTATAGAACTAATAAGTGACTCCTTAAATTTAGACTTGAGAGATTGAAAAAGAACTGAAGAAAATACAGCATAAAAAGTCTTTTCTCCTTCATGATGAATTTACTTAATTTGGAGAAGTATTCTGTCTGGATTGTGAATATGTATATGTATATTGACAAGTTAACTGTATAAAATAAAATAAAATGGAACTAGACTAAGGATACTGTTTTTCTTTCTAGATCCCATACAGTGGTCCACAGACCAAGTGCTGCACTGGGTGGTTTGGGTAATGAAGGAGTTCAGCATGACTGACATAGACCTCACTACGCTCAACATTTCGGGAAGAGAATTATGTAGCCTTAACCAAGAAGACTTTTTTCAACGGGTGCCTCGGGGAGAAATTCTCTGGAGTCATCTGGAGCTTCTTCGAAAATGTATAAAATTAGTTATCTGATAATCTTATAATTTAAATTTAATTACATTTCTTTGTAAGTTTTTATCTTATTGCTCTTTGATAAGCAGTTAAAGAAGTAATTAGTTGTCTAAAGCAATGCTAAGCTGTCTATATTCTTATTTAATCCCTATAATAATGCCATTATTTTTCAGATAGAAAAGCATGTCTTTGATCGCCGCTAAAAGTCTCAGAGCTAGGGAGTGATAGGACCAGCATCCTAACCAAGGCTTAGACTAGAATCCAGATTCTTAAATCAGATCCTATGCCCTACTCTAGTTCTTTTTATTTATTGCTTTCTGTTTCTTCAGTCCATTCTTTAGTAAGACTTGGCAGATGGCTTCCCTCCTATTCTTTTAACAAGATAAAATGTTTTTTTAATTTCTTATTGTTACAAGCCTTCAGAGAAAGGAAAAAATCTAGTCTACAATCTAGTTTCTGAATTGGAACCCACTGGTTATAAGTGTTTCCACTTATAATGTATGTGCCATACCTATTATGATTATATAGAAAAATTAGAAACTAATTGGTGCCCCCAAAATAAGCTCAAGTAAATATAATTTTATTTACTTATTATTTATTTATATAAATATAAATTTAAATTTCTTGTGCTGGCCCAATAGCTCAGCGGATTATAGTGCCAAAGGGCCTGGGGTTCGATCCCTGGGCCTACTGTGCCAGCCCCGCCCCCAGGGCACACTGAGATGGCAATTGAGACTGGGCGTGATGGCATGCACCTGTAATCCCAGAACTTGGGAGGCTGTAAACAGGTGGATCAGTATGAGTCCAATGTAGTAGTAAGACCCTGAACATCCTGTAGACCCTGAAATACAGAAAATAAATAATAAATCAATTTCTTTGCAGCACTTTTAAATGAATAAGGTAAATTCTGGATTTTTCCAGTTTCTTACGTTGAATCGTGTTTACTGAAACATTTTCTTACAGGAATTCTCAATAATACAAGGCTAGTGCTTGTTTTCCCAAATTTATTTCCAATTTCCTCAGGTCGGCTTTTTGTTGTGGTTGTCTCTGGTTTTCCTAATGCTTTTCAAACTCTAAAGTTTGCTGGTACAGAAAGGCAAAAAGAGTTCCATGCAGGTTTCCTCAGAAAAGCTATTCTGGAATTGTTGCTTTATTTTCAGAAAAGCCCCACAGTCTACAGAACAGTGTCACACAAGTGCCTTATTTGTTCAGCCATAGTTCTACATTCTGGCAAGAAATCCCATGTGATTTAGAAATCTCATGCTCAGTTCAAAATTTGTAGAATTGTCAGGATGGTATGTAAGGCTATTTCTAGCAGATTTTCCTAAATTTACAAATCTCATTTTTCAGATCAAGGTCCTTTGAGCAGTCCAGTACTCTATCTAGTCCTTTTTGTAAAGAGACATCTGCAGAATAATTATGAAAAGCACTGATTCCTGAGCCAAAACTGTTAATGACCCAGATTGTTACTTGTTCATCCTCATTTATCAATCAAGGAGCAGCAGTGCTGGACAGGTAGAGCTCGTTTTGCAGATACGTTTGGTCAGTTACTTACCAGACTGCCACGTGCCTGCAGTTCCCATATGTTGAACACAATACACTGCTTGGGGAGGATAATAGAGAAATCTTCCAGTACTGCCAGTTTTGCAGTATGTCTTGATACAGATACCTGCTTTCTGTGACCAAAGGCAAAGCTCAGTTTATTAAGGCTGTTCTTTGGGGAGAATTGCTCTGTAATACCTTTAGTGCCTGATATGTCACAGAATGACTCCACATTTCTCAGCTTTGGTTTTAAAGACTGCTTCCTTTATGCCTAGCCAAGAGGACAGGTCTTCTGAGGAAGTTTGGTATTCAGAGTACCTATGTGTTCCTTTAAAGCATTCAGAACTTCTCTTTTTGTGTTCTGCCTTCTGTCTTGGGAGTTTCCAGAAAACAGACCAAACTGAAATCCAAGAAAAGGCTTTGAAGCTGATTTTCAAGGTTGGCCATGTCTGGGCTATGTGATAATTCCTTTCTCTTTTGTGTCTTTTAGGCTAGGGTACTTCCATTCATTTAATTACAGGTTGAAAATTTTCTGTTTAATTTTTTTAAACAGTATTTTTCCCTTTGAGGTAACTTTCACAAAATTCTAGGAAAATCTACCACAAACAAGACAGTGTTCTTCAAGAGAAGTAACAGTTTTGGGCAAGAATGCTCAGACCTAGAAGTTGCATAAAAGAGTAACATGTTCAGTTTACTGAAAAGTTAATTTTACACTGTGCTTCTTAAAATGTTCTTTTAATCCTCACAGTAATTTGCCAAAGTGACAGTGAGAGCTAAAATCTGAACTCAGATCTGTCTTAAGCAACTCCCATATAATCATTTTTATGCCCCCCAGATTCCATTCTCCCAAAGAAAACTTGCATCTGATACGTAAGATTTGGATCTCGTCTTTGCCCCCCAGTGTTTTTTAGATGTGTGTCTAGAGCTGGGTCCTGGCACCACAACCCCAGTAGAGGTTTTCTTTTTTTTTACATATGCAGTGCAGGGTCTCACTACACAGCTCAAGACTTACAGTGATCCTCCTGCTTTCAGCCTCCCTAGCACTGGGATTATAGGTGTGTGCCACTACGCCAAGACCTGGGGGCAGGGCCTTTGCGGGATGAGTATCGAACCCCCTTCCCTCCACTCCTCTAAGTAAGCGCTTAGTCTGCTTAGCTGTCTTGCTAGTCTGCCCAGTAGAGTCTTTCTGGGTTTGTAGAACTTACTTAAAATCAAGAATTATTACTGAGAAGTTTACTTTTGAGAGAAGCATAGTTTATGATGGGCACTTAATAGATGAAATACTGGAGCCTGAGTTATGCAGTTGTGTGATGGACAAAAGCATCTGAGCTAAGAATAGTACAATACTTAAAATACATGGTTATTCTATAAAGGATTACATTAGGACCTAATACAGTGTAACTGACAGAGTTAGACACAGGTATTTCAAACTCATGTTCTTTGAGTAGCTTTTCTGACAGTTAAGAATTTTCCATCTTTCCCTTCTCTTAAAGATATGGTATTTGCCATAAAGAGTGTTCATTAAGTATTTTGGAGTATTTATCTCAGTGAATTTCAATTGCTTAATAAATTTTTGTTTTGTTTAATTGTAGACTCCGTCTTTGAGGATCATATTCATTAAGGTTTAGTAGATTGAGATTTTTATTTCTGGTTTTAAATGGGAACAAAAATGTTTTTCTGTGTTCTTCAGATGTGTTGGCAAGCCAAGAGCAACAAATGAATGAGATAGTTACAATCGATCAGCGTGAGTATTTGTGCCCATATTTGCCCATTTATCAATAAGTAATGTTTTCTTTTGATACATAAGATATTAAAAACTTTTAAATTGTATATGATTTTAGATATAGAGAAATTATATCAACTGCATACACCATAAAAAATTTCATATCATAACTTACCCATTACAGATCCCATCTTTCTTTCTCTGTCCTCAACTTCGTGTTTGTTATTCTCTCCATATTTTGTATTTTTGTAGCCATAAACACTTATGACATTGTTCTGTTCCAGGTATAAAGATTTGGGTAAAATTATACTATATTATGCATTTCCTTTTATAAGTCACTTTCTGGTCAACATTTGTGAGACTTAACCTATAGATACAGAGTAGCTTTTTTTCATTTTTACTGCTAAGGAGTATTTTTGAAATACTATGAACTTCACTCAGTGAGTATTTATACAATAACATCACAAGGTTTCTGCACTTCAGATCAGTACATAGTGCCAAAAATTTTCTTAAAGTGGTTATGAGTTCATAGTCTCATTAGCAGTGGGATGTGAGTTCTTGCATATCCACATTTGTCTCTTAAAATTTTTGTTTAGTGTTTGAGCACTATTAAGATACCATTTTTAAAACAGGAAAACTGGCTAAGATTCAGAAGTGAATCCTAGATGTATTAGCAGTGCAAGGTGTTGCGGCGCAAATACCATAGCTTTACAGAGAAGACCTTTCTTGATGTAGAGGATTTTCAGTGCTAATTAGTTTTGTTTAACATCTTTTAAGACTTTTTTTAATTGCTTGTATTGGAAGATGAAAACATACCCCCTGTCTTCTGTTGTAGCTGTGCAGATTATTCCAGCATCAGTGCAGTCTACCACGCCAACTACCATTAAAGTTATAAATAGCAGTGCAAAGGCAGCTAAAGTACAGAGAGCTCCAAGGATTTCAGGAGAAGATAGAAGCTCACCTGGGAACAGAACAGGTATTTTTGCATTAACTGGTACTGTACTTAAAAAATTTGTAAAATTAGGTATATTTTATTTTACTTCACTGTATGAAAATGTAAATGTGGACTTTCCATCATTATATAAACAAGATTTGTGCAAGCAAAAGTTCATATTTTCCATGGCTAAAATTTGAGCCAAACACTGTGTTTTGCCTTTGTCCTATGCTGCCCTCTCTATGTCCCTTATTTGTCCCTCTTGTTAATTTAGGAAACAATGGCCAAATCCAACTATGGCAGTTTTTGTTAGAACTTCTTACTGACAAGGATGCTCGAGACTGTATTTCTTGGGTTGGTGATGAAGGCGAGTTTAAGCTAAATCAGCCTGAACTGGTTGCACAAAAATGGGGACAACGCAAAAATAAGCCTACAATGAACTATGAGAAGCTCAGTCGTGCGTTAAGGTAAAGATTTGTATTTTTCTCATAGCAGCTTTTTGTGTTTTTTCTGTCCACAGGTGCTTTCTAAAAAGTAATTTCTTATTCTAGGTGTAATATAATCGTTGTTATATAATACTAAAATACTCAGATATGTGTGTGTGTGTGTGTGTGTATATATATATATATATATATATATAATCTCCTGCCTGCTGTGCTGGCCTTGCCCCGGAGGCATGCTGAGATGGCAGTTGAGACTGGGCATGGTGGCACGTGGCTATAAACCCAGCCCTTGAGAGGCTGACAACAGGAGAATCACTACAGAGTCCAAACTACATAGTGAGACCCTGGAAACTCTTGTGTTAAATACAGAAGGAAGGAAGGAAATAAATAAGGAAATATAGTTGCCAGTATGAGATGTTAGCTGGGATGTGGAGCAGTGGGCTTGCTTCCATGCTTTGAGTAGAAATGGGTACTCTGTAATCCAGCATTTGCTTTTCTAAGTAGATACCAAACATCCATGAATAGCCACACATAGCTTGTTTATAACAACATCCAAAAATCAGAAGCCTTCCAAATACCTGTCAACAGTAGAGGGAATAAATTTATGGTGGTATATTTAGACAGTGAAGTACTGTGTATCCGTAAAAGTGAACTACCATAAACAGTAATGTAGAAGGAAGGGGATCCAAGAGACTACATAATAAAGCTTTAAAAAACTAGGAAGCTGGTTTACAGCACTTGGGGATGCATATTTCATTAATCAATAAAAAGCAACACAGTAAAATTACTATCATGAAGCACATTTGTGTTTTCCTATTACAGCAGGAAAAGCCTGGTTAAAGGGGGCACATAACAGGGATTCTAGTTGCTACTGTGCTCTGTTTAAATGGGTAAGTGGGGGCCAGGGAGATAGCTCAGTGGAACAAGTGCTTGCCCGGCAAGTACAAGGTCCTGAGTTCGATCCCTGGTACCTCCAAAAAAAAGTAATATAAATGGGTAAATGTTTGCTGTGTAATAAACCAGAGTTATCATTCCTGCCTTTTCAGAAGATTGTGATCTATTTCATTCATAATTTTAAAAGTTGTAAAAAAAAAAAAAAAAATCCAAGTTAAAAAGTCTTTAAAGTACCTAACTGCAGTGGACCACCCATCTCTGCCCAAAAAAGGAAAAAAAAAGGCGGGGTGGGGATATGTTGGGAGCCTGGGAAGCTAGAAAATAGATCAAATATGTGTACTAAAGTAAACAAGCTACCTCTATCCTAAGATAAATACCCTGTCTGGTAAAGGTCACCTATTAGTCACTAGGCAACCTCGTGTCACGTGTTACTAATTTTGCAAAAGTGTAAATAAAGGACCATTTTGTTGTGAAAATAAACAAAAATGTATGTGTATATACAAGATAGGATAGATACACAGCTACTTTCTCAGTTTATTGAGAAGAAAGGTTTGCACTAATATTAATTAGACAAAATATGTGTGCATTTTATCCTCTGAATGCTACTAAGACAACAATATACAATGTATTTATTGTAACTGCCCTACTAACCTGTTTTGAAACTGTTTCATTGCTATTTTTTTTTTCCCTCATTAAAATGAATTGGAAAAAAAGGAAGGAGAAAGGGAAACCATATCGTGAAAATACAAAATATTGTGGACATTTTTTCCTTATTGTATTTTGGGAGAGGTTGGGTTGGGTTGGATTGGGTTTGGCTTTGCTTGGCTTGGTTTGGCTTGGTTTGGTTTGGTTTGGTTTGGTTTGGTTTGGTTTGGTTTGGTTTGGTTTGGGGGATTGAATATTGAATCCAAAATACCTTGTTTATTGAACCAAGTAAAGCCCTTTTTATTGTCAGAGAGGGTCTCACTAAGTTGCCCTAGTTGCCCTCGAATTTGTAATCTTCCTTTTGTGGGATTGTGTGTGTGCACCACCACATCCAACTTCTTTCTTCATTTTAGGGACAGAATAGATGCAGTGAATGCTACTGTATATATTTTCTGATGCATCTACTAGGTTGAAGAAAAATATTAAGTAAAATTAAAATATATGTGTACCCCTTTACCTCTTACTGAGAAATATGATTCCATTTTCTTCCTAGGAATATAAAACTACTCTCCTCTGGTTTCCTTTTTTCCCAAGTGATTTATTAAACCCTTATATGTTAATATAATAATTTTCTTAAGAAATTGAGCTGCCCACTACATTTGAATGACAAGCAATTAGTTTGTGGGCTGAGATTCAAATTCTGTGTTAATGTAATCCACACAGAATATAAAAACTGCCCAGTGTATTAAGTGTCTCTTACTGGAAAATCAGATACAACTCTTGTGATTTGCTGTACTGGAATTAGAAAAAGGACATAATTTCCCGTTTATAGGCCAGTCTTTGTTAATGAACACTTAAGCCAAGTGAATTTCATAGTAAAATCCTGGTAAACATGGTACTTTTGCTGATAGTCATTGTTGAATTATACTTCAGTAGACAGTGCAATTTTGAAATAAGTACTTCACAACCTGCCAGCCTAGAAAAGGGGCTTAATATTTTCTTCTGTATTTGAACTGTGGGTCCACAGTGGTAAATCAAGTCTTTTCCCAAGTTAACATAATTTTGTTTCTCTGTAGAGAGCAGTGGTTATATAGTAAATGGTAAAGATGAAGGCATATCTACATCATGTAGGATTTTATTCACGGCAGAAAAGAAGTGGACATCCCAATAATCTATAGAATATACATATTAAATATTTTTATTATCCAGATAGCTCATTTTAAAGAGGGTTAAGGAGTAAAAGCCTAGAGGAAATGGGATTTTTTTCCTGTTGCCCCAAAGGTAAGAAGCCTAAGTGCTGACATGAAGTCTTGACTGTCTGGCCTAAAAGTCCCTGTTAGATTCTGCTGACATTCTGAGAATTTCTGATTTGTTTTACTTACTAGGTTAAAGCCACTGTTTTGTTACAGTTGTTTATCTTAAGTAATAAAATTTTGAAGTCATTGAAATGTAGCAAATAATGTTTTAGCATTTCTTGGTGGCACCATTAAGTACTTGTATTCTCTATAACTTTGTTGACTGCTGCTGTGGTGGGTTGAGTAATCTACTAGGCATTTGCTGTAGAATAGTCTGAAATATAAATCCAAAGTTTTCATTTTGTGTACTCTTAATTTTTCTTTATTATTTTTAAAGGTATTATTATGATGGGGATATGATTTGTAAAGTTCAAGGCAAGAGATTTGTATACAAGTTTGTCTGTGACTTGAAAACTCTTATTGGATACAGTGCTGCAGAACTGAACCGCTT